CCACCCCACCAGGCCCAGCTCCCCACGCTGTCCCACCGCCCACAGGACCCCAGGGTCTGCTCCTCTTGTCCCCACAGGGCCTTCCCCACCCCCACCCTTCCACAGAGTGACCCTCCCTGGCCCCCGGCGCCCACCCCTGGCCTGGCTTTCCTGGGGTCAGGGCCAAGGTCCACCATCTCCCTCCTCCCTGGGCGCTCGGTGACCTGCAGTTTCCCTGCGGGGGCCTGGGAGACCCTTAGCACCAGAGACCTCCTCCCGCAGCGCGTGGAGGCTCCGGGAGGCGCCTTCAGAGGCGGGTGAGGGGCAGGGGCGCAGCTGCTCGGGGAGCCAGTGGTGGCTCTGCTGTCCTCACAGGCACAGCGAGGAGGTGACAGCACGAGGGGGGCTGGAGGGCCTGGGCTCTCGGAGGTGACGTGTGTGGAGGGCAATGGGGAGGGTGTCAAGGTCAACTCCCGATGTCCAGCGTGGACAGAAGTGGCTGGCAGGTGGCGCCGCTGCCAAGATGGAGAGCCTGGGGGGCATCAGGGCAGTTTGGGGGTTCCTGTGAGGTGGCAGCTGCACACAGGCCGAAGGCATTGCCTCCTGTGGGGTTCGTGGAGCCAGACAGGGGAGGGGGCCACAGGAGTTGGAGCACCAGGAGCAGAGCCGGGAGCACAGGGGACAGCACTGAAGGCCGGACAGAGGCCACCCCCAGCGAGGAGGCGGCGGGAGAGGGCGGTGTCCCGAGTGAAGAGGAGAGGCCGAGGGCACAGACTCGGCATCGAGGGACCGAAAAGACACCCCGGAGGCACCTCGGGGTCAGTAGGAGCCTTGCGGGCGGTGCTGACCGACCACCCACGCCGTCTGCCCAGCCCTCCGAGGCCGCTTCCGACCCCCGCAGCCCAGGCCTGTGAGAGGGCTGGGGGGAGGGAGGAATAGATCCTCTGTGCCCCTCGCGGGGCCGGGTTCTCACGAGCGGGTACAATCCTGCCTTTGTTCCCCGCGAAGCAAGTGACCGAGGAACCGGCGAGGCTCCCACCGCAGCCGGGCGAGGAAGGAGTCTGGGGCCTGGCAGCAG